TTTCACAGAAGAAAATACACCTCCTTCTCACTTAATCACACTGTTACAGCAGCTGAACCCGGGCTGGAGCCAATACAGCGGATGGGGGGCAGACCCTGGGGTGAGGGCCAGCGGGGAGGGTGGCCTGGGATCCTGCCCAGCCCTCCGGAGGAGGGACATCAGGCAGGGCTGTCTCTGCCTGCCCTTCCCGCCACTCACTCAGCTCGTTCTCAATCTCCACAGTCAGGTTGTTAGCGTCCACGATGACCCGGTACTCGGGGGCCGCCTCCACGGGGCCCATCACTGTGAGGATGAGAAACAGCCTGGTGTGGGTGTGTGACTAGGCACCCACCCACTCCCAGACCCCACAGCTCAGAGAGAAGAGGGATGAGGCAGGAGGGGAGCAGGAGGGCGGGCTGAAGAGATGAGGGGACAGGTTTCCGTGTCTGCAGACCCCCCATCTCCCTTTCCAGGCCATTCTAGACTTGACCTCGCCCGGAAACTCAACCCTCCTGGGGCTCCCCACGCCCAAGGCTGACAGCCAGGCACCCCAGAGTGATGCTTGAGGCCTCTTACATGACTAGAAGCCATATAAGGACAAGAACCGTGTCTGTTTCCCATGGCTGCAGCCCCGGTGCAATGCCCTGAACACTCGGGGCTGCTTCACTCTACTCCTGGCCTTTGCCTGTGTTGTTCCCTCTTCCCTTCCTTACATTTATTTCTAGAAAACTCTTCAGACTTTAACTTATTTTACCCACAACCACCCAGGGAGGCTGGTGTTAAATCAGACCAATGCTGCAAAGAAACAGAAGGACATGGCCTGATGTCACAGAGCCAGCAGATGACAGAGCTGAAATCCACCCCAAGTCTGTGTTCTTAACTGTGGTGCTCAAGTGCCGCTACATCCTTAAGGCTCAGAAGGCGCCTAAGAATGCCTCCCTCACCTTCCAGGAGGGTCAGGCGCCTTCCCTGTGCTCCCACCACACGCCCGCCACATCCGTCGGAAATGATCACCACTCAGTTTTGAGATGTTTTGTGTCCACCTCCCCTACCAGGCACTGGGCGCGTGCTGGTCCTTGAGCCGGGCCCACACCAGGAAATGTCACTTCTCTGACCCACTACGGCTCTCTGGATCGAGAAGCTCTCTGGTCCAGCATTGGAAACCCTGCGGGACCTGGGGCCTCCTTTGGCCTCCCCCTGGCCAGGGATGCCAAGGCCATGCCTGTGCAGCTCTGTCCCTGGGCACACATGCCCCTGTTCTCGGCCTAGCACATGGACTCATGCTTCAGGGTCCACTTCAGATATCAGTTCTTCCCTGACCCGAGGCGGGATCAGCCGGCCCCTCCTGCAGCCCCCTCCACCCCAGCAAGCACCGCCCACCAATGGCTGTCTGGAACCTGGTCTGCTGCTCCTCTAGACCCTGAGCAACGTGAGAGCAGAGGCACACAGAGGCCTGGCCCCCACGGTGTCTCAGGAAAATGATAAAGGAAGGAAGGAAAGAGTGAGTCTCCCTGAAACCCCACTCTGACTATACCACTCCTCAGCCGAAACACTTTCCTTGGCTTCCTGCTGCAGAGGAATTCCATTTGGGAGCCCCAGCTTCACCAGGAAAAGGGGTGGCAACAGGTTCATCCTCTACAGAGCTGTCTGAACTCTCAAGAGAGAACCCAGCTTTCCTCACAGCTGGAAGTGAGAAGAGATTTCAGCTGATGCTTTCCTAATTTTTGTGGCTGCTTTTTTGTATTTTCGTGGTTACTTCCCATTTACCAAGTGATACCACCTTTCCACTCACAGCAGCGGTAATTTTCCTTCCTAGGTAAATTTAAGGAAAAAGTACATTTGACTTAAAAGCCCTAAGTAAATAATAAGAGAAGCATTTTGCATATGTGGCAGAACTCTATAACTGATCATGTGAGTCGATAAAATCTGGGAAGCCTTGAGATGGGTCCTGGCATAATTATGAAGCATTCAGGGCAGGAACTTTAGACATGTCTGCTCTGGAATGCAGGATATTCTCAGGATAGAAGAGAACTGGGTTGGTTGGAAGAGAAGGGGGCTCTGGCAAAGGGTGAGAGGAAGAGCCAATTCGCAAGGCCACAAGCTGACGAAAGGCAGAGGGGCCCAGCGGGAGGAGGTGGGGCAGGCAGGCGGGGTACCTTCCGCGGCGCTGGCCTGCTTGCTGATATACTCCTCAATCTTCATCATGATCTCCGCGAACTGTTCGGGGCGGAAAGGAGAGTCAGACCCCAGGTCCCTCCAGGAAGACGAGCTCCTGCCCGCGCCGCCTTCCCAGGAGCCCCTCTCACCATCTTGCTGTCCCACAGCTTGGCGATGCTCTTGACTGAGTCCCCGGAAAGATCCAGCTGCGTCTCCTCCTGCACATCCTCGATCGCCGGCTCCTCCTCCTCCTCCCCATAGCTCCCTCCTTCCTCCTCTTCTGCTGCCTCCTCCAGGTCAGCCAGGAGCTCGTCAGCCAGAGACATACTGAGGCCTGTGGGGAGGGAGAGCAGGGTCCCCCCTCGTTGCTGGGATGGGCCTCCCCTGCCAGAAGGCCCTGGTCCTTCTTGATCAACTCCCTAGCATGCAGGCTCCACAAGAACAGGGATATTCGTTTGCTTCGTTCTCCAGTTCCTAATCTGCCTGGCACAGAACAGGTGCTAAATAAATACCCGCTGACTTAACCCATGAACAAATCCCCCAGAACCAGATGGTGTTCAATCATAATTAAGGCTACCTACCCTTCTCACACTCACTCCACTGGAGGAGACACAGCACACCCCTCACACCACCACTTCGCTGAGACCTACAAGTGCACCCTCTCCTTGATGAGACCCAACCTCTCCTAGTGTCCCTTTTCTCCCTATAGCAGAGGCCCCTCACCACTAACTGTTGGGCCTCAAATGGGTGACAGATATTCTAAAATACTCATCTCAGGAAAACCGAGTGGGGCCTAAAATGTCTAGAACCGCCAAGCCAATCACCTCTGGCCATGAGCAGCCTCCTCACCTACCCCAGGTGCTGGACGGATGTCAGTACCTTCTGTGAGGCCCACGCAGTGGAAAAGGTTGGGAAGCACTACTCAGCAAGGCACAATCCCCACCATTGTGTCCCCACCACTGCTTTTTTTTTTTAATCAGAAAACTTCTCCCTCTTCCTTTATTTTTCCTTCTCTTTCCGTAAGACAAACCAAGGCTGCGAACTACATCCACAGAGGCTAAGTGGGTGACATAGGGAGTGAGTCGGGCTGGGGGCTGGGCAACAGGGAGATGGGGAGCCTGGAGAACTAGGGAATCACACCTGATGTAAAAGCACAGCCAATGCTAAGCTTCAGACACGTCCTGCTGGTGGGAGCATGGGCTCCATGTTGCCAGGTATTCTAGTTTTTTTCAAAAAGTAAGAATTCAGAATTTTTACGTGGAACCTCCCAGCTTGAAAAGTTTCTTTTTTTTATTGTTTAAATGGATAATTTATATAAAAATAAACGAACTACCAAACCAAAACGATTACAGGAAGATTTGGCCCTTGAGCTGCCAGTTGATACTCAATTGTCTCAGGTCAGTCTCCTCTGATATTCTTCTTTCTCCCTAAGATGCACTGTCCCCGTTATACTCACTTCTCTTTATAAGACCCAGTTTTTCCTTGTAAATGCATCTACATTATCTCACACACACCTTTCTCTAAAGCTCTCCTCTCACTTTCTCTCAATAACAGAAACTCTTTCTTTATAGAACACAACCCACTTGCCATAGATAACTCAAATATCTCTTCTTATTCTCTCTTTTCTGTTTCCCCACTAAACTGTAAGCAGGGACTGTATCTGTTTGTTTGCTGCTGTAGCTGCTGTAGCAGAATGTCTAGCACATAGAAGGTATCCAAGAAATAATCAGCAAATGAATGAACAATTTTATTTAATCCCTATACCCATCACATTATGGTCTCCTTTCTCCAGATCTCTGAATATATTATTTTTTCACCCCTGAAGTAGGGACACAAACGTTATTTCTTGCGGTATGAATCTTCTCTGACCCTGAGACTAGATCCTATCCCGCTGTACCCATCTTATGACCCCGTTAGTTAATTTCAACACTAGAGATTCTATAAATTTCTAATATTTTGTTGTATGCCCATCTCCTCCATTAAGCTAAAATTTCTATGAGAACAGGGACCGTGTCCACTTTGTTCACTCTGCACTATCCCCCATCGTCCGGCGTAGCACCTGGCGCGGAGTAGATACGACATCGCTTGCTTCCAGCCAACCTCTCCAGCCCCCACCCCAAGCCAAGCCCACAAGTCCTTCTCACATTTCTTTCGCCTACCAACTTCTTCCTCTCACTTGAGGTCTTCTTCCCCTCACTTTTTATTGTCTCAACACCTCCTCTTCCTTCAATTCTTACCCTATATTCCAGCTCCCTGACTCACGCACCCCACTCCAGGTTAGACAGGTTGCCTGGTGAAACACACCCCGCACGCCCTGTGAGTACCCTAAGGCGCTTCACACACCTGTGATTAAGTAATTACTTGACTGAGCCTGTCACCCCAGGCACCAAGCAAACCGCTAAGAGGACCGGGAAAAATTTTTCGCTCCTGCTATATGCCCAGAGCCGTAACACTGTAGGAGCATATGAGACCTTCAAGGAGTCGGTCTATGAAGGCCCGCCGTCCTCCTTACACACTTCCTCCCCTAGACCCAGGAATCCGGCCTCCCGCCCTCCCCTCGGCTCCCTCACACTCACGTCCTCTCTCTCCGCACGACCGTTTCTAGGAAATTCGCTTCCCAACAGCGGTCGACGCTCACTGATGACGTCTCACGCTCGCGCCGTCGTCGAGGCAATGTTGCGCTCTGATTGGCCCCCGTCCTGCGTCTGTCCCGGTGGCGTTTGGAACAACAACTTTATTAGTACCTCCCGCTAGGCAGAGAAGGGGTGAGCTGGAGAGAGGAGAGGAGGGTTATCCGGCGTATCGCCTACTGTGGACTGAGCCCGATAAGCGGAGAATCGCCGTGGTCTGACGACAGGGCGTCAAGGCAAGAATAAAGGCGAGGGCAACTGAGATAACTGGTGGAGGCGTTCGACGAGAAAGCAAGGCCTTTAAGCCAGGAGTCGGGGTGGAGGTGGAAGGGTTGGTGAGCGAGGCCTGAAATAGGAAACTACAGCTCCCAGAAGGCGTAGCGGCTGCGTCCCGGATGCTGTGACCGTGAAGCCTGATGGGACAGGTAGTTTTGCAAACGACTTGACCTAGAGGCGGCCGAGGTTGGAAGTTCTGAGGCCTGGGGCTCCCAGAGCGGTAGAGAGATGGAACTGGAGCAGAGAGAGGGGTGAGTGGCTTTGAGGAAAACTACGAATCCCAAGAGACACTGCGGTTGCATGGTGTCAGCCTTCCGCGCTTTTACCCTGCGGGCTGATGGGGACTGCCGTTGCTCCAACTGCTTTGACTTAGAACTCTTTTAGGGACTGGGGTCCGTATTCCGGCGTCCTGGTCCAGAAGAAGGCTACTGGTCCAGACTCCTGGATCTGAGAGACGGGGAGGTGGGATGCCGGGACTCCTGGGTCTGAGTGAGGAGTTGGGGACATGGTACTCCGGGAGGAAGAATCTGGAGGTCTGAACTCCAGGATCCTGGGAAGGGAGGGCTGAGGGCCCTGGGCTCCTGAGTCCGAGGAAGGAGAGGGCTAGAGGCTTGGCTCCTGTTCTGAGGGAGGAGGGACTAGGGTCCCTGAGCCCCCTGACCTTACAGGACCATGGCAGCCGTCGGCTTTGAAGAGTTCTCAGCCCCGCCAGGCTCCGAGTTGGCGCTGCCTCCGCTGTTCGGTGGTCACATCCTGGAGAGCGAGCTTGAGACAGAAGTGGAGTTTGTGTCCGGGGGTCTGGGTGGCTCGGGGCTCCGGGAGCGAGATGAAGAGGAAGAGGCAGCCCGGGGCCGGCGGCGGCGCCAGCGGGAACTAAATCGCAGGAAGTACCAGGCGCTAGGTCGGCGCTGCCGGGAGATCGAGCAGGTAGGTGAGTGTGGATTCCCCTGTTTTGGGGTCTCCTGGCCTAAATTGCCAACCCCTCCCAGTCTCTGCCTGTCTAGATGCCCAGGCTACCTTGCCTGGCTGAATGAATCTTCATTCATTTATTTATTCATTATTCTTTTATTTAGCACTTAATAATTGCCAGGCACTGTGCAAGACACTTTAGACATGTCTTCTCTAGGAGCTTCATCTGACAACCCAGATCAGCTCACCGATGTTTCACAGGTGCCTCTCATGCTCCCCACTGATCACACTTCAGATCTCATACCCCTGACATCAGTTACTCCTCATGCCCTGTTCCTTCTTCTCTCAGATCTCTCAGATCCTTCTCCTCCCCTCCATCCCCATGGCCCCTGCCCAGATGCAAGTTCTTTTGACTGAATCACTGCATTAGCCTCCTTAATGGGGATGAGGATGGAGCGGTAGGCAGGGCCCAGATCCTGAAAGGCCATGAACACCAGGAAGAGAAGTTTGATTTATTTGTTTGTGAGTGACTGGGAGCTATTGGAAGATCTCAAAGGGGAGAGACAGGGTCAGGTCTGGATGTTTGAAAGACTGTCTGAATTTTGTTATTTGTTTGCTGGAGCTGCTGTAACCAAGAACCACAAATTGGATGGCTCAGTAACAGGAATGGGCTGTCTTAGGTTCTGGAGACCAGAAGTCTGGGATTGAGGCGTCAGCAGGGCTGGGCGATTCTGAGGGCTGTGAGGGAGAATCTGTGCTAGGCATCTTGCATAGCTTTTGGTGGTTTGCTGGAGATCTTTCGTGTTCTTTGGCTTGTTAGATCTCTGCTTTCATCTTCACGTGGCATTCTTCGTGTGTGTGTGTGTGTGTGTGTGTGTGTCCCGATTCCTTTTAATAAGGATGCCACCAGTCATACTGGATTACAGCCCACTCTAATCACCTCACTTAACTTGATTACCTCCATGAAGACCTATGTCCAAATAAGGTCACATTCTGTGGTCCTGGGGGTCAGAACTCCAACACCCCTTTTTAGGGGGACACCGTCTAACACATAACAATGATATCGGGGAGCTTTGGAAAGGGGGCAGTCAGTGTAGTGGTCCAGGCAGGAGAGGAGGATGGAGGTGGGAGCTGGGGTGGGAGTCAAGGGGATGCAGAGGCAGGAGTGACTAGGAGAACTAATAGGAAGGTGAGGTTTGAGCCGAGTCTTAGGCTAGGTGGAGCGTGTCAGGTGGACTGGGTGGAAAAGTGCATTCAGGACTCTGGGTAGCACAGGGCTTGCTCAGGACTGGAGGGGTGTTCAGTTTGACGGGGATGCTGGGGAGGGGAAACGGCCTTGAATGCCCGGCTGTGGGCAGTGCGAGCAGAGGAAGTGCTTGGAGCAGGGTCAGCTCCAGGTGTTAAAATATATTCCCGTGAAGCTGCATGAAGGGTGAGCCTGTGCACAGCCTGTGGCCAGCAGCCCCGGTCCCTCCTTGTAGGTACGGACCCAGCAGACACACCCATGCACCAGGTGAGTTACCAGATAACTTGACACCACATTTTATCTTTTACCAGGTAGCTTTCCCTCTGCTCCATCCTTCCGCTCACCCCAACCTCTCATCTTCCCTCCACGGCCACTCCTCTCTCCTCTCCTCCCCCAGTGTTTCCAAGACTCCGCACGTGAACCCCTCCCTTCCACGGTTAGCAGTAATATTTCATCCCTGCTGCTTGGTGTTCACAGGGTCTTTTGGTGCAAGAGCAGTGCTGTCAGAGTGACCACTGTCACCTGGGAGCTCCCACTCTGTGCCAGGCCTGCTCTGGGGGCTTCACACAAGGACATCTGGGAACTCTGTTAGCCCTGTAAGCAGCAGGTATCCTGAGCCCTGTTGAACTGGTGGATGCTGGGGTCCAAAGAGACTCAACCATTTGCTCAAATGGAGCTGCGTTTGAGCCCCTGCTCTTAGCCCACCCCCGGCCAAGAATAGGTTCTGTTATTATTCTCCTTTCACCAATGCAGAAACCCAAGGCTCAGAGAAGTTAAGTAACATCCCCAAGGTCACACAGCTGATAAGTGGCAGGCTGGGGTTTGAACCCAGGTCTTTCTGACCCAGGAACAGAACACACTTGTTCACGTCTTAGCCGCACACCTCCAACGGCCCTAACTAAAGTAGCCAGCTCCAGCCCCAGCCGCCGGCATATCTGCCTGTTTGGTGCCTTTCGAGCCCTTTATCCCTGTGAGGTCACTGGTGTAGCAGTATTTAAGTAGCACCCATTGAGCCGGGTTCTGCTCGAGGCCCTGGGCACAGGGCACAGACCCAGGCCTTTGGAGTTTCCATTCTGGTCGGGGAGAAGCCAGTGAGGACGCTGAGTAATGAGACAGGACACAAGGCGATGGTGACCAGGCAAGGAAAAGTGGAGCTGAGAAGAGTGGCGGGAGGGCGGGGTTCTGGCATGGGAAGTGGGGAGGGGCTGCTGCAGTGTAAAGGGAGGGTCTGAGTGGACTCGGACCTTTAAGTTCAGACTTGGAGAAGTTGAGTTACACAGGCACCTGGGGCAGAGCATGTGCAAAGCCCCTGGGACAGGAGGGTTGAGTTAGGGGACTCAAGCATGAGCTTGGAGGCCGGTGGGAGTGGAGGGGAGGGAGGGGAGCAAGAGAGGTGGTGAGGAGGTAGGCGGCAGGTGCAGCAGGCCCTAGAGGCCCCAGGATGGTCCTTGGCTAGTCTCCCTGGTCCCCACCGGGGGCTCTGTTCACCATGTGCTGAATACCTGGAGTGCAGCCGACCTGTGCTTTCCCCGCAGGTCAATGAGCGGGTTCTGAACAGGCTCCACCAGGTACAGAGGATAACCCGGAGACTCCAACAGGAGCGGAGGTAACCCACTGCACACCGGCCCTGGCACTGTTTCCATCACCTTCCTGTCAGGCCAGGAGGAGGCGGGGCTGGAGAGGAGGGCTCCGGGCTGAGGCGACCAGGGTCCAGGAGTGGAACTGGGCCTTGGAAGACAGCTGAGCCATGGGCTTGAGGGGAGTGGGTGTGCTCCCTTTGAATGGAGTATAGCAGAATGCAGGGGACCAGACTTGGGGTCCTGGAGTCAGTTTCAAGCACCATTTTGCTGTGTGACTTGGGCCAGCCACATTCCCTCTCTGAGCCCGGTTCCCTGTCACCTAAGGGTAACCCCCAAATCACGAGGCTGCTGAGGACAATGTGGGAGGTCCCAGGGTGAGCTCAGCTCAGAGCCTCCTGCCTCAGGCCACCACGACCAGGAGAGGTGTGAGCTCTGGGGCCGGCCCACGGCCTGCTGTTCCCACCTCCAGGAAGCGTGGAGCACGGGCCTGAAGGTGACGGCTCCAAGATGCTGTGCCCCACGCCCCGCGCCAGTCCTCCCCTCTGCTCACCTGACCCAGCGGAGACACCCTTTTCTCTGAAGCACTTTCTTGGCGTCCAGGTCACTCACCCACCCGGGATCCCCCTCCTCCTGGCCACTGCTTGGCTGCTTTGCTGGGTCACTCTCATTTCCCCAAACCCTTAACCTGCAGGATGTGTGGCTTGGCTCCTGGGTTAGACCTGTACTGCCCAGTCCGCTAGCTGCAGGCGGCGACTATTTTACGTTGAAAGTGGAATTTAATAGTCATTGAAGGGAATTTGAATTCATTAAATGAAATGGAAAATTCAGTTCCTCTGTGATGTGCTTAATTGGCACGAGCAATTAAATTAACTAAAATGAAGTGACATTAGAAATTCACTTTCTCAGTCACACTAGCCTCATTTCACGTGCTCAGTAGCCACTTGGTTCCAATTTTAATCTAAATTAAAATTAAACAAAACTTAAAATTTCAATATCTGAGTCACTTGCCAGGTGCTCAAGGACCAGATGAAGATTCTGGACCTGCCTGGTGGTGGTTGCATAACAATGTGAATGTACTTAATGCCATTGCACTGCATGTTTTAAAGTGGGTACATTGGTAAATTTTATGTTATGTATATCTTACCACAGCTTTTGAAAAGAATTTTTTTGAAAGTGTGAAAGGAAAAAAAAAGATAAAATGTAAGACAGGCCAAGTCATTTCTCTGCTCACAACCCTGCCGGCCTGTCACACCTGCCTCCTCGCTCTGCCTACAACATGTCCGACACACTCCCACCTCAGGGCCTTTGCACTTGCTGTTTCTCCCGCCACCCCCTCACCCCAGAGAGGCCTCGCCCACCATCCCTTTGAAGTTCCAATCCCTCATCCTGCTATCACCCATCCCCTTTCCTATTTTCTGACCTGTCGTGATTTGTCGTTTGCTAACTGTCTGCCTCCCTTGCAAGACTCAGTTCAGTAAGCACAAGGATCTTTGTTTTGTTCTGATACACCCCAAGCTCCTCAGACACCGCCTGGGGCAGAGCAGGTGCTGGGTACACCCTTGTAGAATGAAAGAGTTTGTGCCTGTGAAATGCTCTGCCCAGGCGCTGGCTCACTCACAGGCACGACTCAGCTGGAGCTGGAAAAAACAAAAACAAAACAAAAACCAAAGAGCTTTCAGAAACAGGGACGGGGAGGGGAAGGCAGCACCACCTGCGGGAGCTGTCCGCCCCCGCCCTCGGGTTAGGAGTGATAATCACTTACGCTTGACTGTTTACTAAAGCTGCCGTCCCACGAGCACTTAGATCATTCAGGTGGCAGTGATGCTCTCTACAGACTGCCCCGTTGCATTGTCACCTCCCAGTTACAGAGCAGGAACGAGGCACAGGTCACCCTGTCTGGCCCAGAGTCCTGCTGGCTCTTCGTGTGCTCGGCACCCGGGTCTCTCAGAACCTTGCGGGTCCAGGACAGCCGTGGCTTCAGAGTCAGAGCTGGGCCCCTCTCCCCAGCTGCCAAAAGACAAAGCTGTCTGCCTGGTGGCTTCTCTCTGGGCGCAGGTTCCTGATGAGAGTGCTGGACTCCTACGGGGACGACTACCGCGCCAGCCAGTTCACCATTGTGCTGGAGGTGAGCTCGGGGAAGGGGGCCAGGGGGCTGGGAGAGCCCAGACCCAGGACATAGCCTTCACCTGCCCACCTACCCCCACTGCAGGACGAGGGCAGCCAGGGCACAGATGCCCCCACCCCAGGCAACGCTGAGAACGAGCCTCCAGAGAAAGAGGGGCTGTCCCCGCCTAGAAGGACGCCTGCACCCCCGGAACCCAGCAGCCCGGCCCCCGGCGAGGGACCCAGCGGGCGGAAGAGGCGGCGAGCGCCCCGGGATGGACGCAGAGTGGGAGCTGCGCTGACCCCAGAACTGGCCCCAGTGCAGGTGGGAGAGGTGGACCTGGGCTCTGCGGGGGTGGTGCGGGCCCTGCAGGGCTGGGAAGAGCCAGAGGAGGGAGGTGTCGCGGGAAGGGTTGGAGAGGGTGGGGGCTGGGCAGGGAAGGAGTTGGAAGATGCAGGCAAGGGCGTGCGTGGAGAAGGAAGGTCTGGAGGAGGTTCCGGGGAGAAGAAAAGAGAACCGGGGAGGGCTGGCAGCAGAGGAGGGAGAGAAGGCAGGTGAGGGGAGGAGACACTGGAGAAGCATCCGGATCCTGGGACTTTCCCCAAGGGGCACAGAGGAAGGTGTCTGGCCTGGGAAAGCAAGAACTGTGACGCCAGGGGCCTCCTCCAGATTCCAGGCCACTCAGCCTTGCCTTTATCTCCCCAGATTAAGGTGGAGGAAGACTTTGGCTTCGAAGCAGATGAGGCCCTAGACTCCAGTTGGGTTTCTCGGGGGCCAGACAAACTGCTGCCCTACCCCACTCTGGCCAGCCCCCCTTTGACTGACCCTCCCCCCAATAAACAGACCCCCGCATCCGCCTTGGCTACTGTCTGCTGCCTCCACCTCTCATCACACACTCTCAGACTGGGTTTGGTTTTTGCATTTTTATTGGGGGCCACCAGGGAGGGGGCCTCTCCCTGTCCAAGGAGGTGCTCACAGTTTCTTCAGCCAGTCCAAGCTTGGGCCTTGGGGGTCCTGGGGATGGCTGGGCACGTCGGGCATGTTCCCATCGTCTCGGACGGGCACTGTGGGACAGGAGGGTGGGCCACTGAGACTGGCAGATCACTGGGGCCCAGAAAGAAGGACTGGCCTGTCAGCTTATATTCAGAGAGGGAAATGGGACCCCAGGAGAGAGAGTAAGGGTCAGAGCATCAGAGATGCAGGAAAGCAGGGGATAGGGACCTAGAGATAGGGGAAATAAGAGATGGATACAGAAGGGAGACTCAGAGAAAGAGCCAACAGAGATGAGGAAACAGGACAGAGGCCTGGACAAGCGGAGACCCAGGAAGACAACACTCCAGAAAGCAAGAGATGGGACCCAGACAAGGGCAGAAATTGGAACCATGACAGAAACTCAAAGTGCAGAAACAGACAGGAAGTGAGTTTCATGGCACATGGAATTACATCTAATAAAAAAAAAAAAAAGAAGAGCCCAGACTCCTCTGCAGAGTCTGGGGTCCCTGCAGAGGAAAGTCCTGCCCCTTACTCCCCGCCACTGCCCAGGGAGGTCCCAGCCGCCGTGCCCTGGCTCCCACTCACCTGGGTAGTTGTAGGGTGTGGACCGGTTGATCATGACGGCATACTTGGTGGAGGGACTGAGTGTGGGCACTATTATAGCTGTGGAGAGACACAGGGGTGAGGCCCGAGGAGGAGGTGGGGACAGAAGCTGAACCTTAGCAAGATGGGGGTCCAGTGCATGGGGGGAGGGGAATAGGGAGGTCCAGCACCTCCAGGAGGCCCCTTGGCACCCTGGGATCTCCAAACATCAGCAGAAGGGTTTACAACACTTTTTTTTCTCAGTGGGGGTGGGAGTCAAGCATTCACAGATACCCGGGATCTAGCGGGCACAGGAGGGAAGAGGGTAGTCATGGAATGAGTACATTTGAGTCATGGAGCAAATTGGGAGGGGGTGTCTTGGGAACGTTCCAGAGGAATCATGAACTGTTACAAACTGAGGGGGGGGACTGTAAAAGAACAGTCACTGGGAAATTACAGTTCATCTAGGGTGGGAGCTGGGAGTTATGGGGGTGGGGCAGGCGAATAAAGAAATGTTCTAAGTCAGTGCTGTTGACAAATCTAAGAGCCATATGTAATTTTACATTTTCTAACAGCCACATTAACATTAAAACATACAAATTAATTTTTAAAATGTATTTAACCTAAATAAAAAAATAAAAACAAAAATACATATTTAACCTGGTATATCCAAAACATCATTTATCATTTCAATGTGTCATCAACATGAAAAAAATATTTTATACATTTTGTTATACTAAGTCTTTGAAATCCGGTGTGTACTTTACACGAGCATGGTAACAAACACCATCTCCACTCATACTAGCCCATCCCAAGTGCTCAGTGGCCAGTATGGCTCATGGCTGCCTGGGACAGCTGTGCTCTAGAACCCCACGCAGTGAGTGGCCAGCTAACCAGCAGTGTGGACAAGACCTGGGAACCTGTTAGAAATTCCGCATAGCAGGCCCCGCCCCAGACCTACTGAATCAGGTCTCGTGAAATCTAAGTTAACAAGACCCCCACCTCCCGCATCCCACTGAAGTATGAGTAGCCCTGCTCTAGAGCTGAGGTTCTGTAAGGGCGGCACCTTAGAATCACTGGGGGATTTCCACAAGGTATAAGCTTCCCTAGCCCCACCTCCATCCGGCCCAGTTCAATTTCAAATCTGGGGTGGGGGTGGGGGTGCTGACAGTGAGAGAAAAGGACATTACTTTTTTTTATTTTTTACTTTTTTTGGGGGGTGCGGGGAAGGTAATTAGGTTTGTTTAACTATTTTTTAACTTATTTTTTATTGAAGTGTAGTCGATTTACAGTGTTAGTTTCAAGTGTACAGCAAAGCGATTCACTTATACATAGACATATATATGTATATTTTTTCCGTTTCTTTTCCACTATGGCTCATTACAAGAAATTATTTATTTTTAACGGAGGTACTGGGGATTGAACCCAGGACCTCGTGCACGCTAGACATGTACTCTACCACTGAGTTATACTCTTCTCCCCCACTTTTCATTTGTTATTATTACTTTTTAGCACTCAGGTGTTTATAATGCACAACCAGAGTTGAGAACCTCTCTTTTGGAGGGATTATGGACCTCTTGGGTGGATGTGTATATGTGTATGGGGTGGGGAGCGACGGGATGGCGAAGGGATGGAGGTAGGGAAGAGGACGTCATGGGGAGGCTGACACACAGGTGGGGACACGGAACGCTGAAGGCGGCGATGGGGCCTTGGGGGGTACAGGATGCAACGCAGGTGCCGGGCAATGTGGCGCTGGTGGGGAATATGGGACCTCTAGAGCGTGGAGGACGCGGGGGTGACGCACGTTCCCGCCCGGGGCACTCACGCACCGAGGGCCCCGATGGTGAATGATGCCACCAGCACCGGCTCCTTGGCCCAAGTACTCTTGAGGAAGGCGGCGATTCCTGGAAGGGTGGGCGAGGAGTGTCACCTCTGCAGGGGATGCCCCCGGTGACCTCTACCCCTCTCGCGAAACCCTTACCCTGGAGGAGCCCTCTAGAGACCTTTGCGCCCCCCTCTGGCCCGGACCCCACGGCCTCCACGGGGGCTCTGCCGTGCCGTACCCTCGGCACCACCCGGGGGGGGTCCCTGAATCAGCCCCGCGTGCCAGAGACGCCCGTACTTACTAGCGGCCATCTTGGTCTCGGCGGCGGCGGCGGCGGCGGCGGCGAGGGCGCGGAGCACTCTGGGAGTTGTGGTCCCTGTACGCGAGCCTCTTCGGTCTGAGCCTGCGCGTGCGCACTGGCTCAGAACAGCATTCCGCAGCAGCCGCTGCAGGAAAGGGGGCGGTGCTGCAGATTTAAGTGCAGACCCGCCTTGACACACCTGTCCCGCTCTTTTTTCTCTCAGCCTAGAAAGTCGTTCCGGAAGAGTAACTTCCAACCCTCTTGCGGCGGCCCAGCTAAGACGGAATGCATCAGTCCTTATTTTATAGTTGACTTATGAGAGTCCATTTTACAGGTGGAGGAACGGAGGCTGGGAAAGGACGAGTGATCGATCTACCACTTGAGGTCGCACCTAAAACTCAGTTCTTCCTGCAAGTTCTCATTCCAGAGGAGTTAAGGCCTTCTGTGGACTCTCACAGTGCCCTCTGTGATTTCCATTATAGTGCACATAACTGTTTTAACTGCCCTGATCGGGATCTGTGTTTCCACTTGAGTGGGAGCTGCCTGAGGGCGGTAATGAAGTCTGACTCCACTCTGTGCCCCTCGATCGTGCAACACAGGGCCTGGCACAAAATACGTACTACATACATACATATATATATTAAATATTATATGTCGTATATTATATATAATATATTACATATATGTAAAGTTTAATGAACACAACCCGTTATGACTGCACCCTCTCAAGTTTTTCCACAGCACCATGGGGCTGTGACACAGCCACCCAGAGGCTCCTCCTCACTCTACTTCGCTCCTCCCTTCCCTAAACAGGACTCTGGCTTTCTGTGGTTGCCTCATTTCCCAGCAGGGGAGAGTGCAGGCTGAACCCTGGCTCCTACTTCAGCCAAAAAGTGCCTACCATGGACCTGGTGCTGATTCTCCAGCTGCTGACTCTCTGTAAGACCCCCACCCTCTTCTCTTGGGGCCCCAGGCTGGGCTGGGGTGCAGATAGACAAGCGCTGGGGACCTGGATGTGGAGGGCGGAGGGGGCAACGAACAGGACTACCGGGTCCTCCTGAGGGCAGGTGCAGGGTGACCAGGGCAGCACAAGCTGAGGATTCAGAATTCTAGGCCAGAATAACAGGACTGAGGTTCAGAATCCTGGGTCCTAAGGCAAGAGGACACAGGGACCCTGAATTTCTGGGTTCCTGGAAGAGGAGGAAGTTGAGGGCAGGATTCTGTAGATTTTGAAGCAGGAGAGGGCTTGGGACCTGAGCTCCTGGGGACAGGGAGTATAGAGTCCTAGATCTTGATCTGGGAGAGAAGCCAGAACAGCTGGGTCCTGGGAAAGGAGGAAACTGGGGGCCCAGACTCCTGTGCTCCAGAGAGGAGAAACTGTGGTCTCAGATTACTGTCTCCTGGAAAAGGTGGAGTCCAAGGGTCTGAACTCTTGAGTGTAGAGGCCAGAGGAGCTTGGGTCCAAACTTCTCGGGAGCAGCCAAAGGCTTTAACCAGACCAACCCACCTCAACCTCCTACAGGGCCTGTGTGTTACGCAGACATCACTCCAACTGGTGAGTAATATCCCCACCTATTCTTCTATTTGTTGCTGACATCCCATTTCCAACTACTCATGTTTTATTCTGGTGCCCATCCTCACTCTAGACTTCCTTAACTTCCCTCCCCGCCCCTTGATTTCTTTCCTTCCATCCTCATTCACTTTGGTAACCAGGACAGATGAGTAGCAAAGACCACGAACTTTGGAGTTAAAGAGACCGAAACTGGAACCCCACTTCCACCACAGTATTCATTTGTGACTTTGAGCAAACCACTGCACACTAAGACTTAGTTTCCTTCTCTGCAAAATGGGGCTGTTGTGAGGATTTAATAAAATCACATGGAAAAAGCCTTGGCTCAGAGCTCGGCAAAGCGCAGGGCTCAAGAAACAGGATCTCTGGCAATGCCAATGATTCCCCCATTTGGAAAGTAGGGTCCTTCACCCTGAAATAGCTCTGGGTTTCTTTCCAGGCTCTCTGATGGGTGAGACTTCTTCTTCCCCTCAATTTTCCCCCACTACACTTCAACTTCAAATAAGAATCACCTAGAAAACCATTAAAACCTTAGCTACCAATTTATTTTAAATTATTATTTTTAAATGCTAAAGGTAACATTGATAGTTTGAAAAATTATTAAAGGGCATATAACAACCTTCCTCTTCCCTTTCCTCATCTTCCTTAAATAATCTGAATCCTTACAAAAACATTTCCATGCATCCAAACACATATATGTATTTATGTACTTTTTTTTTTCAAAGCAAAATTTATATTTTCTGACTCTCACTGTGTTGCATCTTACATTTTTCACTTTACAATCCCTCTTGGAGACCTTTCCATGTCATTATAGCTAGTTCTTTTTCCCTCTTTTCTAAAACTTCTGTCTAGCATTTGCATTGTATGGCTGGATTCTAGTTTGTCCAGCCCTCATTACGTATATTTAAGTTGTTTCCAACTTTTCTCCTCACAATCAATACAGCAGTGAGCGCTCCTGTTTTTGTGTCCATCTAGGGTGGAATTATTGGGTGGCTGGTCCTACCCTTTGTGTATCTTGATGGAAGAAACTAACAAATTGCCTTCTCAAACGATGCAACTAAGTGCACCTCAGTGCCTGTTTCACTACATACTCACCCAAATGGATTAACCGTTATTTAAATTTTTGACAACCTGATAGGCAAAATAAGTCTTACTGTTGTTTTAATTTTTAAAAATAATATTACTGAGGTTGAGCAACCTTCACGTAGTAAATGCCAAGTGTGTTTTGGTCGATTGGATTTCCTCTTCTGTGAACTCATATGCTCTGCCCAGCTTTCATTTGGACTGGCTCTACGATTTCATTCTACACTCTTAATCTATGTGATTTACAGATTAGCCATTTCTACCAATGCTGCCACTTCTTGCTTCGCTTATATGTCTTTTTTCATACACAGCTTTAAAATGTTGAAATGGTCATATGTTTTAACCTTGTCCCTGCTGAGTTTTTCATTTTATATTTTAAGACAGCCTTCTCTACCCCCAAGACAAATATATTTTCCTATATTTTCTCCTAATACTTTTATAGTTAAAAAGACACACACACACAAGTAGGTCTTTAATCTGGAATTTGTTTGGGGGAATGGTGTGAGGTAGGGATCCAACAAATTTCCTTCCCCAAGTAGATAGCAAGTTTTGGCAACTATTGAAATATGTTGAATATGTTACAAATATTCTGGAGGGCAATTTGAAATCGCACGTTTCTGGGACCCAGTCCCTTGAAATGATATTTAAAAACTATAAAGGTCAGGAGTTGATGCCCTGCTCCTCTGATTTGCAGCTAGTTTTGCAAGTCTTGGTTGGGGTCTAGTGTCTCCCTCTTTTACAAGCAGGGAACTGAGGCTGATTCTCAAGGTGATCCCTCTCCTACCCTAGCTACCCCCTCATCTCCTTGGGCTCCCTGGAAGCCTGAGGACCCAGGCAGTCCTATTTCTTCAGTTCCCCCGGCCTCATACCCCAAGCCGTGGCTGGGGGCCCAGCCAGCTGCAATTGTGACCCCTGGAGTCAATGTCACCTTGAGGTGCCGGGCACCCCAGCCCGCCTGGAGATTTGCACTCTTCAAGTCTGGAGAGATGGCTCCTGTGCTTTACCGGGATGTATCTGCAGAGCTGGCGGAGTTCTTCCTGGAGGAAGTGACACCAGCCCAGGGAGGCAGTTACTGCTGCTGCTACCGGAGGTTAAGCTGGGGGCCAGGTATCTGGTCCCACCCCAGTGATGCCCTGGAACTGCTGGTGACAGGTGAGATCCTGGAGGAGGGGGCTATGAGAAGGGACACAGGTGGGATGAGGAGGGACAGATAGAGAGAGGAGAGACAGAGAGAGGGAACATCAGAGAAGCAGGGGTGATTCTCAACGAGGGGCAATTGTACCCTTCTCCCCCACCCATTTGGCAAGGTCTGGAGACATTTCACGACTGGGGAAGAGTGTGCTCCTGACATCCCATGGTTAGAGGCCAGAGAGGCTACAAGACACCTTACAATGCACAGGACAGTACACTCCCCCACCCACACACACAGCCACCAAATTATCCAGATTTATCCAAAATGTCACTAGTGCTGCAGTTAAGAAACCCTGGGAGAGATACAACCTCCGAGACCCAGGCGGAGTGAAACACGCATGACTGGAAGGTTAAAAATAGAACATTTTAGCCAGGCACTGTTCAGTAAACAGTGGAGAAAACCGACATACAGACATACAGGAGGCGGAGACAGAGATGCAGAGAAAGGCACGCTTGGGTACCCAGGCGCTGGGAGGGGCAGGGACATAGAGGCACAAGGGCACAGAGAGGAACACGGACCTAGAGAAGGTGAAGGAGACTCATAGAGTAGGACAGAGGCGGAAATGTCGAAATTGACGGAGGCTGAGAGACTGGGGAGGCAGGGAGAGGGAGGTTGGAAGGGAGAGAGGAAAAGAGAAAAGAGGGGGGAGAGGGAGGGGAGAAGAGAGATGCGGGAAGGAAGAGTGAGGTGGGAGGGAGAGAAGAGGAGGGGGAAAGAGTGGGGAGGGAGAGAGCGGGGAGAGAAGGTGAAGGGGAGGCCCGGGAGGCGCGGGGCAGCGCCCAGCCG